CCTTAATCTTCTTTTGTTTTATTTGCAGGATTAGCTTTCGGTTAGATCAGCAAACAGGAAAAAGGCATGAGTGTCCCTTTTGGCAGCAAGGCAGTCTTAGATCAGTGAAAGTGCAACATGAAACCACACCTTTCACTAAAGTGACTTTATTAATAGAGACATAATTTTACAATCTAATTGCAAGATGTCAGGTGTTTAATGGAATAAGCCACTGAAAAGATACAAGCCTAAATTAACATATTTTAATGCATTTAATTGTTTTCTTTAAGCGCTATCAGCAGTCAGGACCCAGGCATTTTTAGGTTTGATATACGTTTTGTATGAACAATTTGATAAGACTCTGAAAAACAGTGAGCTTTAGCATTCCAATATTTTGTCCTGGACAATGGCAAATGACAAAATGATCTTTTTCAGGAAATGCTGCAAACAGAGTTTGTAGATTGGAAACATTAATTTTCCTTGTAGCCAAACTTAGCTCAAAACATCACTTTCTGTGCATTTAACGTTACACTTGGCTCAGAATCCATTTGCAAATGACATGTTCAGAGCACTAAAAAGTACAGACTAAAAAGTACAGCTTTTTCCTGAAATGGTAGAACTATTAATTTCATAGAAAAATACCAATATACTCAGATTCTGAATATTTTTATTTTGTCACTAAATGTTGGTCCTATCCTTAGAAGTGCCCAGGAGAAAGATCACTTCTAATTCAACAGCACATTGTATATTCTCATCTTTCACTTCATTCCCTCTGCCTTGTGGCAGCAGAATAACCTGGCTTGTAGAAGACATCTTGAGAAACTGCTTCTCCTGGGAAAGAAGCTGCTACTGCTCCAGGAACACATTTGCACCGAAATCTCCTTGTTCAGCACAGTCCCTAAGAAAATTCCGCTGATGTCTCAAACACCCACCACTTCTGCGGAGGCACAGAGCTCAAAGAAAGAGGCACATTGCAAAAGGCGTTTTCTCTCTCCTGTACCTGTGGTTCATTTTTCACTAATAAAGACATTTAAACTATTTTCATTCTGCACTTTCCTCTGAGTATTATACTGTACCTATACCAAAACACTTCAGAACCAGCTTTAGCTTCTGTTCAAATACGTGATTGGAGCTGATACCATTAGGTCGCCACTGAACAAGGACCTTGGGTGTTTTCTTTTTCCCTCAGCTACACACAGCCTAACTGGCAAAAGTATGGGGAAATAACCCATGACCCTGAAAGTCAACCTTGTAAGCTTTTCCTAGGAGACTTGAAAAGTACAGTAGTCATTATTCCATACAGTGCACAAATGATTTAAAACTCTTACCGCTGGCCAGGAGTCCCTGGAGCTTTTCATGAGAAGTTATTTAGTAGGTAGGGACTGGAGCTATGCAAAGAAACTCATCTGCACTGTGATATAGGAACGACAAAATGAAAAGGGTCTTTCACAAGCTGTATCCAAAGGCGCCACAGTATGCAAACAGCCTGTGAGCTGCTTCACCAATATAAAATAATAAGTTATACATGCTTCATGTAACTTAGACCAGTTCTCTTATCTTCGGGTACTTTCTATGTAGAGAGAGAGAGAGACCACATGTTGAATTAGAACAAAGAAGGAAAATGTTAACGATATGCCAACAAATAAACAATCTTTATTGCTCCTTGACTCCAGTTAAGTCAGGGAAATTATCCCGACCAAAAAGAGCAATGCAAGGTGTATTGTTCCCTTATAATGTATTTGTTCATTGGAGCTTACAGGTTGGGAGATTGCTTCTCAGTTTCTTGGAGATTCGTCACAAGCTTTTTTCATTCTCTTAACAGATACATACTGCAAAGCGCTAGACAAAAGGATGACTGATGCAAGCATCAAGCAAAGATCTTTCAGTTCAAGCTACTCTTTTGATGTTCTATTTTAGTTGAAGAAGTTTTCAATTACAAAGCCCATTGTAAGAACAGCTTTCCCCATCCAATTTTTATTATAATTTTATCAGTTGTGCTTGGTAGTGGCCCTCTTTTGCAGCTTAAGGTCAATTACCTTTAATTAAATAATAACTTCCATATTTTTCTTGAATAATGTCTTCTGTATCGCTGTAAGCCTGGAGAAGCTATATAAAGTACTATGACTATAGAGGCTGCAATTAGTACAATTCTGCCACTAACTTGGAAAAAAGGTGATCTTAGCCTCATTTGCCTATATCATCTCTTCAGCAGCAGGAACGATTAGTATACCAAGTCTTCAGCAAAACAGTGAAGAACACGCTCAAGTACAAGCAATTTTGTTGAGATGAGGCCATTTCGTATTATTTGATATGAGTCTCCCTCCAGCTTCCAGTTTCTACTTCCTGAAGCTAAGTTTCAAACTTGAGTTTAATCTAAAAAAGACAACTGATTTAAAAAAAAATTCCCTTTGCAACTGGGTTGGCTGACATATTTCCTTGTTTGTACATGGCACAGAGCTGCTCAACTAAATCTGCCTTTTCCATCTTTCTCGCTGGCTGCCATCCAAGTGAGAAACGAAGGGCTTTTAACTGGCTAGGGAACCTTTAATTCCACAGCAACATAACAAAGAGGTCATTTGCACTACTGTCATCAACGGAGCTACCAGCCAGCTCCCCTCATCATCTAGTTTCCAACACTGCTTTCCTTGAATGCGTTTGCTGAATGCAATGTCACAATGAGTATATGAAAGCATCAGCATCGGTGAGTAGCTGCTGATTTACTGATGGAAAATATTTTCCCTTTAAGGTAGAGTTTCCTACAGATAAAGAAAAGGTTATATTGTCTAAGCAGCTCACAATTTTGTAATTCAAAAAACAGGTCTGTAAACTAACCATTAAAGGCTGAGAAAGTTTGTCTTCATCTCAGAAGGTATTAAAATTAACCCATGGGCTGGAGAACACACTGTACTACATAAGCCTCACTGTGCTCAGTAAAAACAAAAGAACAAAATGACACATCCCACAGAGAATCTCACAGCCTAGCGTGCCCTGAGTCTGAGAAAAATCTGAGTAGATTTGCCTGGGTTTTTTAAGTGCTTTATTAAAATAGAAAAATGTAGGAAAAGAAAATTTCCTTAATCCAAATCAAACTGCTTAAATGTGTTTGTCTTCTCTTGCTCCTACACACTGCCCTTCTGCCAGGTCCACTCACTAAACGTCAGGAACAACCAGGGTCTGTGCAGGACATAAACACACAGGGGCCAAACAGAAAAAAAGAGGTCATCTGCAGAAATCCTGATGGTAAACAAGTATGGCTGAGCAGGAGATATCTCCTCACTCTACTTGCTCACACGAGGAGCTGAGTAGTGCCCATCTACCATCTTCAAGAAAACCTGAAGTTTCTGAAGAGGCACACTTTGTGGTGGATGTATTGCATGAGAAAGTCTACAGCCCTCTGAGGCTCGACATGCTCATTTTGAGTAGCCATTGCTCCCTGCGGCGGGAAAACTCAAGGGCATGGTTCTGCCCACAGCCAGATCCAGGCTCCTAGAGGGCTTGTTTCTCAAGGGGAATTGGAAACCAGGAACCTCTGCTCTCTCAAAGGCAATATTTTGGCTCAGCAAAAGGCAGAGGCTCCCAGGTCTTGCTGGGTTTTGTGATGAGAATGGAAGCCCCAACTGCTCATGGAGGCAAAAAATTGCTCAGTACCTGCTACCTCATAGCTAGAAAATACCAGTAAGTGGCTGTTTGACACTGCCCCACTAATGCAGGAGGCAGATCACAGGCATCTTCCCCAGGCCTGGAACTTTAGTAAAGGGTGGGATAACACATATACCTCCAAGAGGCAAGGTGTGTCCTCTCTAACAAGTGGCATTTTTAGCTGCCACTGACCCCACAGCTGCCTACTGTAGCAGCAAGGCAGCAGAGATAGCCGGCTCCACAGCACTCCTGGGAACCCAGCAGCAGCACTGGCTTTATTCTTCCTCCCCAAAACAGGGATAAACTGAGCTTCAACACTCAAAAGCAAGTACTTAGCACATCCCTATCACCCTCATCTTGAGCATTGTGCAGACCCCTGTGGCAAACTGCACCACTCCTCTTACTGATAAGAGGTAAGGACTCTAGCACATTAAATTTTCAGCCAGGCAAAGTGACACCAAGATTGTTGCCTCTGTATTTATAGGCATAAAGACAGCTGAAGGCTTCCTTCAGATAATTTCAACTAAACCTTGCCTTCACACATACACATTGTATTTATTGAGTAGTGCAGTGGGAACTTCAGCCTGGTATGTAACGTATCTGGAGACAGCAGTAGATAAAACCAGTGTAACCTTGGCAAGATTCATTTCTTCTCATTTTTGAAGTATGATAAAAAAACATGTTATCTGTGCACTTCAGAATAAGTCAGAAGAGTGCCTCTTTGCTCAGCCGAGATCAGAACTGTAACATCCCTGTTACCCAGGGATGTGAGAAAATGATATACCAATAGAAAAGGTGAGAGCATGTACCAATGTATTGTCCCAAGAAAAAAATGTTTACATCTAGCTTAACTAAAGGTGTAATCCTAGTCAATCCAACGGAAAGCTCCTCCAGCGAGAACATTTCCTGCTACTAAAGAGGAGGATTAGACACTGAGGGCAAAGATGGCTCAGCACAAACTCAATTTGCATGACAGGACATTGGGTTTTTTTCAGATAACTACAGCACTCAGGTAGATCAGATGGTGCCAATTCACAGCACAGTTAGGGGCAGAGGACACCTAAAATTCAACAAAAAAGTGTGAAATTATTTGGGGAATGAAAATAAACAACTATGTCACAATGGGGTGTAGAAGGTAGGCTAGGAAACTTCCAATGTGTTTCCAAGACTCAGGCCCTAATACAAAATAGCAATCCTGTCAGCACCTTTGACAGCTCTTCCACTATAGATTGCTCTTCAGAGAGTCCGAGTCCATCAGGTGCTGCCAGAAAAAGGCCTGTATCCTGTGCCAAGCATCTTCTTGGGCTTTGGCATGCTCTCTCCATTGCCCTCCCCACTGCACAAATACCCCAAGCACTTTGTGCATCGAAGCCTGACACAGAGGAAAGTACGGTGGCTCCAAGAGGTGCCCTGCTCCAGAATAAGAGTAAAACTCCACTTTCCGTCCATACTGCTGAAGGCGCTGAACAGCATCCTGGCAGTAGAGGTCACTTTTCCAGTTTGTGTCATCCAGCCCTGACAGGAAGAGGAACTTGGCCAAGGACCTCTCCATGGGAATGCGACAATCCCAAGTCGCCGGGTCCCTGTGATCATCTAGAACATCCGAAAAATCTACTAGGCCAGACTCCTCACTGGTCTTCATCCTCCCCAAATCATACGGGTGAGGACGAACAGTGAAGCCATCACCTCGCAGGGGAATGAAAGAATTAAAACCACTTCCAGAAATGCTGACAGCTGCCTTGATGCTGGGTAGAAACGTGGCCATGGAAAGAGCTAGATCAGCTCCTTTAGACAAGCCCAAAACGCCAATCCCAGTATCTTTCACCTGAAACACAGTTATGAAACAACCATTATCAACTGCTCATTTCTTCAAGCACTCCTCATTTCTTGGACTGACATAACACCTCCTATTATTTACCCCTTCCCCCTCTCAGTGCAGGTTACATCCCTCCTACACTGATCTCTTTGCTGTGCCTCCTCAAAAGTGACTATAAATTCTGCAGCTCCTGAACATTTCTGCTCCTGTGACTGCAACACTTTTTCTTCCTGCTGCCCTCTGCAGCACAAGCCTCTGCTCCCTCCATATCTTGCCTTGACACTTGCTCTCACTGCTGTATCTTTTATTGCTCTGGACTCCAAAAACCTTCAATCATCTTTCTTCTGGCCCCCTTTGGCAAACCACTTTTTCATGGGTTTACTTGTATTGACTGTCTTTCTCACAATTGTTTTTTCATACTCTCTTATAGCTGACCTGTTATTTTCTATTTTGTCCTGGAACACAAGTTCCTTACGCTGGGGCTCAGTAACCCCAACAACTGTTTAAATTAACTTTTTGGTTTAACTATTATGACATACTGCTATAAAGTCTCTTTATCAACCCACATGCTTATTCAAATACAGACCCAGCTTCTTAAAACGTGACACACTCTCCAACACTAGAACTGTAGAAGCTCCTGCTCTTAACTGTATTACTGTTCTGTGAAATTTACTCAGAAGCAAAAGCCTACAACATCCTAGAAGTATTAGGAGTCAACAACATTTTTTTCCTTCTAAAATCATCTAAGATACAAGAGTAGAAACAAAAAAAATAAGATTTCCTGGCTTAAGCAGTTTTTGTGCTTCTGCTCCAGTAAGTGCTTTGATGTAAAATCTTACACAAAAACAGGTCTGCACAGCAGCACTCTATGGGCTGTTATAAGGAGCTGTGCAAAACAGCTATCCAACCAGCCACAAAATGGGACTCAGTACATATGCGTTTCCATCTCTCAGCCCTTGCTGCCTGACAACAGGCTGTCTTTTAGACAGGGCTGTTTCCTTCCACATCGCAGAAACTTAGTTGTACATATAACATTTCAAATTAGGGAATTGGAAAACAGTTTCCAATACGAAGAGCATCATAGCTTGTCTCCTACCTGCTGCTGCTTCCGCAAAAAATTTACAGCTTCCTCAAAGTAACCCAGTTCAAGAATCTCTGGCATAGCAGGGAGATCTTCAAAGGCCATGTAAGCCAGGGCCAGTGTCACAAAGCCTCTGCTAGCCAGAAGACTTGCTCTGTATTCAACAAGACCTCCTCCAGATCCATACAAATCGATAAGTCCAGGGAACGGACCAGATCCTGCAATGAAAGGTATATACTCACAGAGAATGATTTATATAGTTGTTCTTTCAGTAACACCCTGTCAGCACACATCAGGATAGTAGTAGATAGTGATAGGAAATCACCCTCTGAAGGTTTTCATGTAGGTTCTCATTCTCAGGGACACAATCACTGTAATTAGATTCTTTTCCCCAGAGGCATTAATTGACATAATTATAGAGAAATAATTATCCACCCAAGGCTATGTCAGTTCAAGTCTTCTGTATGGACTACCACCAAAAAAAAATGAAGCTTTTCTGTGAACAGCAGAATGCATGAAACCTAGTTTCCAGAGGCTCTCTCCAGTATGGATTCTCGGATGTCTAATGATGAAGCTGAGTTCTGATTTGGATATTTCTTTTCTCTCTCCTAAGAATTTGCTATTGGAAATTCTTATTTTGGGGATTTATTCCACCATCAAATTCAGCTGAAATTCTCAAGTCATTGGGGACTAATGAACAAACAGTATCACTGCATGAGTTGCACTTTTTTAGTAACTGTGCTAACAGCTTCTCTGGGGAGGGAATACTCTGAGTTACGAAACACATTCACAAATACCAGCATTGACCTACACCAATTCAGACTTCAGTTTTATCTAGGTAACTTCTTCAGGGCTTCTCGGTTCTCCTCCTGCAGTTCTATGATCTTCGATACCTGTTGCTGCTCTGCCCATTTTCCTTGCCAAATTTAAAAATATACTGGAAACTTTACCTAAAAAGGATTTGGTCTCACAGCAGCTGCAAGGGACTTTTTATTTTCTACAGAGTAAAATATTCAAGTTTAAGTACTGCTCAAGGAATATAAACGGTCCAAAAACTACAACACTTTTACTCATAATCCAGTCTTGTCATCATCTCTGCACAGTGTCTTGGAACATGACTTAGTTAAATCCCCTGGCTTTGCCTTTCTCATTTGTCCTCCGTCTTCATCAGTATTCCATGCAATTAAGCTGCTCAGTTGATCAAGTATTGACTTGTTTGGCTTTTTCTAAGCCAAAGAGAGAGACAGACACACGTGCAGACTCTGCAGGAAAACCTGTGGCAGCAGCTGGAACAGACTAGGCTTGATGCACTCCAAATCCTGTGCTCCCGTTACCTCTCACCATTGCTCATTCCAGTGCTGGAGTACAGTTACACCCCTACAGTTCAGCTGAAGATCAGGGGCCTCTTTGTGCTGTGAGCCAAACAGAAGAGTTAAGAACGAGATATATTTTTCCCCAGAGTCCTGCTTCATGAGAGGGTCTGTCTCCTCCTGCTCAGCTAAAGAGACCAGGAGACACCTTGTATCACTGCTGCTGCCTTCACTGCACAGCACTGCCTTTGCAGCAAGCACCTTACCCCCACAGGCAAAGCTTGCACCTTTAGGATCCTTTGCTGTGAGGATCAAAATAGCTGGATCAAGCGTAGCCCAAGGGAACAATTAACTTGCTCTGGGTTACTGAGTGTATCCAAGGGCCACAACGCATATAACGTGATGTAACACACATCTGGAAAATCAGCAAGGAATTCAAACTCACCAGGAGGGAGGAAGAGAGTTGCTTTAAGCCGACCTTCTCTGACTGAAATCCTCTTCACTCCCTCTCCTAAAAACCTTCGCTCATTGGTGCATTTTCCTAGCAACCGGCTCATGTCCCCATGGCCATCATACACTTCCAAGTCCACACAGAAAGGGGTCAGGACGTTCCTCTTTGCCAGCCGCCTATAGGGTGCTTCAGACTGCAGAGACCACAGCAGCCCCATCGGCTCCACTCCAGAATAGCTGCCTCCCAGAGCCGGGGAGCGAGTCAGGTCCAGCTCTCCACTGCTCCCAGCCCTGTAGTGAGCATGGGCTTGGAAGCGCTCCCCGCTCTCGTCAGCCAGGCAGGCTCTGAGGGTGACTGCCTGCTGAGGCAAAAGACCCGTCACATGGATCTGGACGGGGTCATCGAACAGACACTGGGGAGAAGGCAGAACCGTCACCCGCACTGCCATCTGAGCTCTGCTCTGGGGGAAAGGAGTTTGGTTTTTCTGGCAAGACACTGGCTGTGTGAAACAGGAACGTCAGCAGCTTATCGCTTCTGAGTCTTAAAACCTCTGCCCAAAGTCCAGGAGGAAACACTGTGACCATTTCCTTCAGCCAACAGCAAAGACTTCTGGGAGACGTAGTTCGGGGTACGCCTCCCTCCAAACACTTTCTCTAAGAGGCAGCACAAAAACACAATTGACTTGCAAAGACCCGTCACTTGTTCCTGACATGCAGTGTTATTTTTGATTATACAGAAACTAAACTAAAAACCAAAAGCTTCAAATGACAAAAAGGGACGTTCAAATCTTTCCCCTAGACTGTGGGAAAGTTTAGATTTGATTGTAGAAGCTGATTTAAAATGTCATGGCTTGGGCTCCTTCATCAAGGCATAGCGAAGACAAATAAACTTGGAAATCGAAGTAACACAACATTTTAATCTAACCATGAAATAAACCCTATATATTTAATCTCTCTCGAGTTTTCAGCAATTTTTGGACGAGAACCACAAGGTAAAATGATGTTTAGGCTTTAAGTGTGTTTCTTTAAAAACAACCCCCCCCCCCAAACAGACAAAGTCAAAGAATAACGATTGTTTTTCTCTTCAGAACAATCAATCTGCACTTTCCTGATTAAAACACGTAAAGTTTTTTTCCCATTATATCCTTGTTGTTTCTGAGGACCTTTGAAGATTTGATAATAAATACCAACTTTTAGTTATCATAAACAACAATATCATATTTTTGCAATGTCTGTGCATTTAGTAGTGTTCTAGTCCTACCCTGCAGGTCTCAGTCATGTGAGTATTCTCATCCTGTTCAGTGGAAACACACAAGCGTGAATTGAGACTGAAGAAACAGGCTCCTGGTTCACATGACTTGTCTGACCATGTTTGGCAGCAGTTAATGACAAAGGACTGTTACAATTACCCAGCCTACAAACTGCAGCATCACAAGTTCTGCCACAAGGCCACAGGCGAAAGGCAGATTGACTACAGAGCTGGCAAAGCAACTCTTAAAATCACCACTGAGGATGTAAGAGAATGCAGCTACATTTAAAAACAAAACTAGAAGGAAATAAGAAGTAGTAATAAAATCACATAGCTTAACATGAAAAACTGCCAGGATTGACCTAACATGTCCCTATCACCTCCATCAACCACACTGTTTGAAAAGAGTCAGAAATTGGTGCAGAAATAAGCTTTTCAACTGAATTTTATTGCAGAAGTGGTAATCTCTCATCATCGAAACACCACAGTCAGCCACTGAACGCACTGAATTACTACTGGAAAGGACTTTTGCCTTAATCTGAAGGTATATGTTGGGCTGATGTGGCCTGATGCACAACGGGTGACCAAGCAGAGTTTTCCTTGTTCATTTGTTACTAAAACAATCTGTAGAGCTGAAGGAACAGTCACGGTGTATGTTTTGGGATTTCCAAAACTTGCATTGCCTCCCTTCAGATTTTACTTTGCTTACCAGCATTGAAGCAAAATGTGAAGACCTAAAAACGTTATCATCGAACCTTCTACCTTCAAGCCAGAAAAAAATGGCCAATTGACCTGGACTATGAAAGCAAGCAAAACAGCTGTGATCTGTTTGACCAGCTTTGTTGAGGATAATTTAATGTTCGGTTCTGTTAGCTTGAATTACGTTTGGTGCTCCAGTCCCAGGTGCTGATGATCGTACCACATCAGAGAGGAAGATTGCAAGCTTGAGTCTCCCACCTTTGCTATAACACTTTCACGGCATTTGTGAGACAATCTAATAGTTGATAATAGCTGTACTTTAGGTCATATTCCATGTCATACCAATAATTCACTGAGGAGAGAAGAAAAAGGAAAAACACTCCTAAGGACAGAATGTAATGATTTATGAACATGTTCATGGACTGTTTTAGACAGTTCAGCCAGTACAGGCTTTTCCTTATTGCTGACTGAACTTTGAAACAAGCAAAGCTTTGACTACAGCCAAACATAATGTAAGCAAACCATAATGTAAGCAAATATGGAAGGAGAGTTCTTTAATAGTACTGCCAACACAATTCAGTCTTAACCCAAACCAATCCTCCCCTTCCCCCTCATTCTATTCTGGGGGTTCCCTGGAGCAGAATCTGGATAAATGTTTAGGAATAGGAAAAGTCTGCTTCTATTTAGGCCAAGAGTACCAAATACACTTCAATGTTTAATATGCGAATATGAATCTCTCTTTCTCTCAGTGTGTAAAGGATGGAGAATTCTCATTTTAGTTTTAGTGTAATATCTACCTAAAAAAAAAATAAGCCAAACAGTATAATATTGTACCGATGGTTCTTGGAGGAGGATATTCTTCAGACATCCACTGGACCAGACCTAAAGAATATTTACTGTCAAGTGTAAACAGACCGCAGCACAGTTAACAGACAAATGGCCAAACATACATGACAACTCTCTAGCATTTCAATAAGATAGAAGAAAAGAAAGTTGCCAAAGGGCTTGTAACTGGAAACAATCCTATTTTTTCTTAATAATCTTTAAGGACTGATGTAGCAGCACTGGGAAAAATAACCAGAAATACTGATTTGTTGCTAGCTTGTCTTTTTACCACAGTACTGCAAACAGTGAAGTAAATATCTGCAACAATTGCAGTGTTAGGCAAATACTGATGTTGATGTTGTTCAACATACTTCATTTATTTTGTGTAGGCAAAGGGGATTACTCCAGGTAGTGGACAGCCAAAAAACCCTTCCTCATGCTCTGCAAAACTTATAGGACACAATGACAATACTTTGCATCCACACACACCAAATGAGCAGCGCTTGAAATGCTGGAACTCTTTTGAGGGGAGGAAGAAGAAAAGAGATGATGAAAAATCTTACAAAGATTTATGCTGGGGAACAGTAACACGAGCATGGGTTCGCTAGCAAGTTAAGAAACTTGGACGTTTCAGCTCACCTGACAACAGAGTAGATTCCATGTCGTACCTACTTCCAGGCCTAAAACTCATACACTCTCTAGTTTCCTTTTCCACCTCAAAAATCGTTTTTACTATGTGATAATGTCACGAACAACAGGCAGTTTCTTTGTGAAAGGTATGTGGACAGCCAACTTTGCAGTTGGCCAGCTAGGCAGACAACCTGCTTAGCTCTATGTAGCAAACAAAACCTGGATCTTGATCACTGAATTAGTTATCTTTCTCCAGATTAGAGAACTAGAAAGATTTTTTCTTCTACTACATCCCTGGCACTTGTTGACAATCCTAAGAATTACAGGCAAAACAGACTGCAAGGCGATTGCCCCAAGACATCTGCCAAGACCGTTACCTCTTCCTGAAGGGAGGTAGATGATTTAAAAGGACTTTTGGTTCCCGTTATGTTTTGCTGTGGGGTACCTAGCTGCACACCCAGTCCAGGTCAGAAAGATAGCTGGAAATACTATGTATTTTACCTGCTATACAGCCATGTGATTGCTGAACATGGTGGAACCAGAGAGAAGGGAGGTATAACATCTCGCCAGCTTTCACTGTACACTGCAAAGGTTTTGCCTGAGCATACTCTGGATACTGTTCCAGATTTGGGTTCAAAGGGTCCAGGGGGATCCAAGGCACCTAAAAGGAAAAGAATATGTTTGTGGTAATGACCCTGGCTAAAATTTTCAGTACGTTTCCAGAAAGACAGCTGATTAAACAAACTTACTAGCTTATGAAACACACATTCTAGCCTAGCAAAACATTACATACAACTACAAAGCCTTCCAAATTCAATGGAGAATGGGTCAGGGACAACAAAATTTGTCCCCTTTAGTAAAACATTTCTAATTAGGGAAAAGGTGCCAAATGTCAGTTATCAGATTTCAACCTCATGGCATACTTTCAGTAGGCCTCCAAGCCCTTAATTTACTTCTTCCTCCTTCAGAGGAAAACTGGTGCAGAGAACTTCATCTGCACCATGCTTTTTAGAGACTCCTGTCTTATTCTAAATCTGCCTGATCTGCTTTTATTCCTTGCAGGTAAACTCTCCTTCTTGCTACAACATGCCTCTTGCCTGCATTAATTTATTCTACGCCCTGCAGAGTTTATAAACATCAGCACTCCACCACTGTGTTACAAGAATGCTCCTGTAGGATCCTACGAGCACCACTCTGAAAAAGGGAA